CTCTAAATCAGATGACGAATCTAAAAATTTAGATGATTTAAATGTCCTTCTTCAACTACAGTTAAAAGAATTATCTACTCTGTATCCCGCTAGTTCCACTATTGTTCCTTCAAAGCTGAGTGAGAGCGGTAATACAACTATTGCCGTAACGTGTGATCGTGGTATTAGTACCGACTTATATAAATTAAAATATGACGGCAACACATGTGTTCGTGCCTTTATACAGAAAGTAAGTGAGTTCATAGAAGCGCGAAATATAAGTGCCGATAAAGTATTATGTTTTGCTTCTGAAATATTTACGGATAATGCGTTACACTGGTACCGTAATATCCGTAAATCTATTAATACTTGGGATGAATTAGTGACCCATTTGAAAACAGACTTTGATCAGTTTGACTACGATTATCGACTAACATCTGAAATACGTTCACGCTCTCAGGGCGAAAGTGAAAACATAACTATTTATATTTCTATAATGAATGGTATGTTTTCACGTTTGTCCAAAGATATGTCCGAAGGAGATAAATTAGAAATTTTACTACATAATATTAGGCCTTGTTACGCTAATGTTTTAACCTGTTGTAACAACATTAAATCTATAGATGACCTTCGTAACATATGTCGGAACTATGAAAATGTCCAGTCGAGACTTTCACAGTTCCGTGAGCCTCCTAAAATATCGGCTGATACATTAGCGCCTGAGTTCGCTTACAAGTCTAATATTACTACACAAAAGAAAAACTGTAGTGATAATCCTAAACCTAATGAAATTAATACCTATACTAAACCTAATTACAACTACATAAAACGTAATGACTATGATAAATTTAAAAATAATTACACTAACCCTATCAATGAAGTAAATATTCTTGCAGTTGATGAACCATCGCGGTATTGTCCTCGTTGCCGTACAAATGGTCATACTTTAAGATATTGCAAAGAACAAAAATTCCCTATTTGTTTTAAATGCGGGAAAAAAGGTGTTACTTATCCTACATGTCCAGACTGTATAAAGCCACCTAATTATCCTAATCGTACATTTACAAAAAACTAAATAGGCAGGATTGTAGATCACGTTCGTATTTTGACCGTGTAGATTGGGAGAACTGGTTATCATTCGTCAAAGATTTTAATCGAGCTTACAACGTGGCTACAATCCTGAATTCTAAACCTAATAATGATCCTCGTCCTTACGTGAAAGTGAAAATTAATAATTGTGACTCTTTAACAATGTACGGTCTTTTAGATTCTGGTTCTGTAGTGAGTATTATAGGCAAAGATTGGCACAAAATACTTATTAAATATGGCCTCGTTTTAGATAATACTGAATCTATTATTGTCGCTGCTGCTGGTGGACAAAAAATGAAATCATTAGGAGTTATTTATCTACCGATTGTTTATATTGATAAATGTGCTGTAATTAAAGCTCATGTCATACCTTCTATTGAAATTCCTCTTTTATTCGGCATTGATTTTTGGTCTGCTTTTAAAAATATTCCAGATAGATTGTCTGATATTGAGTTCATAGATTTAAAAGATTCTCCTGTGTTTGAAGTTTCTCCCAAAGTCGGAATTCGATGTTATGATAATCTTACCGAACCTCAAAAATCAATAGCCAATAATGTTGTTGAACAATTTAAAAATATATCTTTTGAACACAAAGGTCTAGGCAGAACTAATTTAATTACACATAAAATTGACACAGGCAACACTGCTCCCATAAAACAAAGGTACTACCGTATGTCTCCGGATAAGCAAAAGATTGTCACTGAACAGGTCGACGAAATGCTAGCATTAGATGTAATTGAACCTTGTGAAAGCCCGTGGTCTTCACCTGTACTTATTGTGAATAAAAAAGACGGGAAATCTAGATTTTGTGTAGATAGTAGAAAATTAAATTCAGTTACTAAAAAAGATGCGTATAGTTTGCCTTATGTCTCTGAAATATTAGATAACCTAAAGGAGGCTAAATACATAACTAAAATTGATCTCTCTAAAGCATTTTGGCAGGTACCTATTGATCCTTCTGATCGAGAAAAAACAGCATTTTACGTACCAGGCAGAGGAACCTTTATGTTTAAAGTTATGGCTTTTGGTTTAGCTAACGCACCTGCTACTCAACAACGCTTAGTCGATATTTTATTTGGGCCTGAATTTGAACAGAAAGTGTTCTGTTATTTAGACGATGTTATCGTAGTAAGTGGACGATTTCAAGAGCACGTCGACCTTCTTCAAAAAGTTCTCTATAAACTTCATCAGGCTAATTTAACTATCAACCTCAGTAAATGCCATTTTTTTTCTAATAAAATGCACTATTTGGGCTATGTAGTTGATGAACAAGGTCTACGTACTGATCCACAAAAAGTAGAAGCCATTTTAAATTTCCCTACTCCTTCTACCAGAAAAGAAGTGAAACGGTTTTTAGGAACTGCCTCCTGGTACAGACGTTTCATCCCTAACTTTAGTACAGTAGCAGGTCCTCTCAATAAACTAACTTCAACTAAAAATAAATCTTTACTCTTTACATGGACACCTGAAGCAGATAAAGCTTTTCTGGCATTAAAATCATTATTAGTTAAATCTCCAATTTTAGCATGTCCTAACTTTGATCTCCCTTTTGATGTTCACACTGATGCCAGTGACTTTGGTGTAGGTGCTATGCTTTCTCAAACGGTTGATGGCATTGAGCATCCTATTGCCTATATGAGCAAAACTCTATCTGGTGCTGAGCGCAACTATAGCGTGACTGAGAGAGAGGCTTTAGCCGTTCTAACTGCATTAGAACATTGGCGTTATTATTTAGAAAATGGAAAGGAATTCTCTGTATATACTGACCATTCTGCTTTAAAATGGTTCCTCTCACTATCTAATCCTACTGGACGCTTGGCTCGATGGGGTGTGCGTCTCTCGTCCTTTAATTTTGTAATTAAGCATCGTCGAGGAAAAGACAATGTTATCCCTGATGCTTTGTCTCGTTGCCCTATAGCTGAAATTTCTACCTCAAGTACTACGTCTCCTCCGACCACTACTGACAACTGGTACTTAAACCTATACAAAGGTTGTTCGAATTCCCCTGACAGATACCCTAATTATAAAATACAAGATAATAAATTATACCGCTTCATAAAGAGCAAAACTCCGCTTATGACCGAGTTTTGCTGGAAAGAAGTAGTAGTTCGAGAAAATAGAATCTCAATAATAACCGAAAATCACGCTCAACCTACAGCAGCCCATTTCGGTATTTTTAAAACATATCGCCGCTTACTATTAAAATACTATTGGCCGGGTATGTATAGCGACGTAGTAAATTTTGTATCTAATTGTTCTATCTGTCTAGCATACAAACAACCTACACATGGCACATTAGGCAAAATGGGTAGACCTAAACACTGTTCACGTCCATTTCAGACAATCTCTATGGATTTAGTTGGGCCTTTACCTGTAAGTAGAAAACAAAATAGTTATATATTCGTCATCACTTGCTGTTTTTCTAAATACTGTTTAATGTTTCCTCTAAAAAAGGCTACATCTACTGCAGTGTGCAGAATTTTAGAGGATAACATATTTTTAGTGCACGGTATTCCTCAAACTATCATAATGGATAATGGCTCCCAATTTATTAGCCGTCAATTAGACACCTTACTTACTACATATAAGGTGCCTAACATACATTTCACACCCAAGTACACTCCACAGATAAACACTGTTGAAAGATACAATAAAACAATAGTAACTGCCATAGCCACCTTGATTGATAACGATCACAGATCTTGGGACAGTAATTTACCAAAAATACAGTTCGCTATTAACAATTCCGTGAATGAAGTTACTGGTTATACTCCATCTTTTCTAGTACATGGTCGCGAACTAGTATCTTGCGGTTCTCACTATGTTGAAAACGATTTAACCGACGAACTTATTTTTCTACCCCGTGATATATATGCCGAGAATTTGGGTTCTTTAGCCAATGTCTTTGATAATGTGCAAAAAGCTTTGTGGGAAAGTCATCAAAAAACCACTCAACGTTATAACCTTCGTAGAAAACACACCGAGTTTGAAGTCGGTGATATTGTTTGGAAGAGGTGTTTTTTCCAAAGTGATAAAGTTGCTCATTTCTCTAAAAAACTAGCGCCTAAATTTGAAAAATGTCGTATTATTTGTAAACGATCGCCTTTAGTATATATTTTAGCAGATATGAATGGCCGAAATATAGGAACTTGGCATGTAAAGGACTTGAAAATGAAAATTTCTTCATCGTAAGAATATGTTGTAATTCCCTTTTTTTTTCATAATTTTGTACAGTTTATATTTTTTTTTTAAGTAATATAACGGATTTTATCTAGATAAAATCCTTTTCTAAGGAGGGGGGTATTGTCACGTATAGCGTGACACTAATAACAAATTATTTTAAAACCTTATATATAACTATTAAATAACTTAAATATACAAAAACAAAACGCAATAAAAAAAAAAAAACTAGCATATTCAAAACGCACTCTACTAAAAAAAAAAAAGAACATGAAATCTAGTTGGCCACGCTTCGAGATCCCGCCGAAACCGCGCAACTTTTAAAAAAGGAACGACATCGCCTCCTTGTCAGCTAGCGTCTGCTTACTTAAAACCACTTGATTCATTGTACAGAACTGAAAATTGTTTTATAAGCTATAATATATATTAAAGTTATAATTAAATATTTTTGAAATTAATACCTAACTACGCATTTAGTCAATCCCCGTAATCGGGTAAGTTGTACATATTTTGTAAATAACGTATTGTGTTTTAGTAAGTTTACATGACATAGTTAATATTGTAAATAGATTTATGTTGCCTTACACCTTGACTGCCTCATATTGATAACTATATAATCCTACGCAATGCACGTTACCCCTCAACTACAAATCTGATGGCGCAGTCAAGGTGATAACTGATCACCATGCTCACACCGGTTCTACTCGAATTTCTAGGGAGCAAGTTCTGGATTTAAAGTAGAACGAAGAATCTCACTCTGCCTTCCTATCCTGCTGCTGCTGCCCTGCTATCTCTGTTTTTTCCTTCCACATCCTGCACACACCTCGACCACCATCAAGGACGGTATCGTGCCACACTCTCTATACTATTAGTTGATGACTGATACAGAAAAAGAACCCTACCTTAACGACCCTGAGATTAAATTGAACCTACCTAAAATTTGTGTTATATAATTCTGTTTTCCTTCGCCATCGCTATCAGTTTTTGTATATAATTAGTTTTATTGTAATTTTTTGTACATATAAATATATAGTTCACTAAATTCTGCAAGTTTCATTGCTTATATAGATAACAACGTAGCACCCTGCAGTGGGGACATAAAAAAAGGCTGGTGCGAACCACTCATCATTATCATTATAATGATGAGTGGTTCGCACGCCGGTTTCAAGGTGTCCCGGGTTCGATCCCCGGTCCGGTCAATATAGAAAATGAACTTTTCTATATTGTGTCGGGTCTGGGTGTTGTGTTACTTTCGTTATCTCAGATACTCCATAATACGAGGGCTTTGACTACTCATCTTGGAATCTGAACTATGTATGTGATATTGTGTAATATTTATTTTTAGTTAGGTACTGCTCAAAGGATGTTGAAAACTATAGACTGTAGATTCACACCCAGTTTCTGAATTGAAAATTTAAAGTTAAGCACGTCTCAAACTGTACTTAAATTTGTATTGGAGATTAATTTTATGCGTTCATATTTGAACTCCTCCTCAACCATCTATGAGGAAGGCCTGAGCCCCTGCAGTGGGGACGTAAAAGGGCTGGTAGTGGTAGTGATATTTGAAAGTAGTTTTATATATAGGTTTTCTAATATAAATATTGAAATCGACGAAAGGACAGCGAACGATTATATTCTCGATTATGAACAGATATATTAAAGAAACTTTCAAAGTTATTTTAGTAATCGATTTTATAGATATATCTCATTTATTCATCATAAGCGGTAAAATTTTCTAAAGCTTTTCAACAGCGGCAATACAATATCAATTACTCATTTTTCCATTCAATCAGTCATTCGCATGCATTCTAGTATTGTTGACATATACACGTCCTGATTTCGATAGTGTGCTTCGCTTTTAAAATTAATTGTATCAAAAATTCTCCTAGTAGGTATAAATATACCGTGATCATGAGTGTACATCAAATAATTTTTATTTGGCTTAAATTTTCTTAAACAGTTTAGGATTAACCTCTGTTACCTGTATATACGAGTAACATAGTCATCATCAGACTACTAAAATAATAAATGGTCATAATCCATCACATTGATTTAGTGAGCATTACCAGACGCAGCCGAATCTCACAAAAAAAAAATTTAAACGAATTAAAAAAAGATGGGCCTATTAAGGTATTTAAAAATCCAGGACTAGTATTCATGTAGGTAATGCGAGAGCTGTCTGTTCCCCACCTGGTGGTATATCCCGCCGGGGTAGAGGTCGACGGTGGTGTGCGTGACGTCCTCGTGATCTACAACAATGTACTCGTTGAGGTCGTCGTCCTCGGCGCTCTCCTCGCCCCCCGCGCCCTCCTCTCCCCCCGCACCCTCCTCGCCCCCCGCCCGCTCTGCAACCGCCACCGCACTCGCGCACATCTACCGCCACGCAACTACCGCCTACGTGCCACGCCTCAATCACAACGCACTATACCTATCACTATAGGTGAGCGATTCCGGACTAGTTGTTAATTTTTTTACCGTTACGTATAACTGTGAAGTCTTAACAAACTTCCGAACGGTGTGATTAATTGGTGTTTTAGGTAAATTAAAATAATATGTCAAAACTTATTCGAAGTTAACGATATTACAAGACTCCTCTGGATCGACAGAGGCAGACTGACATTATAGAGTGAAGCTTGTAGCTCAAATGACTTAATTCACCTCAACAAAATCTAACAAACTGAACATGTTAAATGTTTTTAGCCATAACACATAATAGTATTTAGTTCAGTCCTAATCGCTCACCCCCATACTAATTTAATAATGATGTGAAGCGATTACATTTAGCTTTAGCGTGACATTTAAACAGCAAGTGCGAGCCGCGATGTGCGCACAGAAAGCAAATCATGCATACATATAGGTAGGTATACCGACCACCAGTTTGATTAAATTTATCAAATATATTTAAGAGTTCATTACTCACATTTTTTTTTTACTTTTAGCGATAGCCATAATTACAGTGAAGTGTTATATGGCAGTTTTTAAAGAAATTATATATACCTTTTAAAATAATTTTGGATGACATCTTTAACTTTGGTGTCATGTAAGCGTATTCCATAAAACGATTTTACATACGTAGTAGCTATCTACTATACATGTAATAGCGTATAAGCGCGGATCACGCTCAACACATTAACATAAAAAGTTGAGCTCTAAGCAGGTTACGGATACCATACATTGTTACAACAATTGCTCCATATAGTCCGTACTTAAATCATCCCTTAATCATATCTCATTCCTTAGATATTCGATCTATCACTTAATAATATACTCACCGACAGTTAGTTCAGCACTCTCGGTAGTGGATGTAGGATTCGTGCTCTTACTAGAACAAAGCGATGTGTCACAAGTACAGTAGTGCCATCTAATAAAAGCTCAACGTTTCTTATTCTACAGTAACTTACAATATTACTTACCCGCTCTCTTTAATTTGTGAGTTTATGATGCCTTTCATTTGTTTGGTGTTATCTACGCTGGTTTCTTGATCTGTATGCTCGTCAGATTCGTGAGTTTGAACCAAATCAGGCAAAACATTGGATACATTATCGTCTGGCTCCTCCGGAGACGCGCTTTTTTCTTTCGCTTTGCGTTTAATGGAGGATTTCTTTTTCCACTCATTAAATTTGCTCGATTCTTGAGTTTCAGGAGTCAACAGGAAGTAGAAGTTGGCTCGGGAGTGCGTCACGAACGTGTCACTAGCCTGTCCATCATGAAATGAAGATATATAGACCATCGAGGTTTTCAAAGAAAAACTACTGGACAATAATAGACAGTGAACTCTTTTAAATGAAACTGCAAAGTAAAAAATTGTGACGGACGGACGGACGGATTTAAAATGCAAATGTTACGACAAAAATACCGACAGTGAAGTGCTCTTTACGACTTAGGTTGTCAGTAATACTATAGTAAGTGCGCGTATAGGGTCACCTGGTGCATCAGCAGCAGGAAGTCTGCCAGCAGCGCGAGGTGGTACAGCAGCGGCGGAGCCCCCAGCAGCGCGCGGGCGAGCGACACCAGCGCGGCGCTGCCGCTCGCGCTCAGCGACCCGCTCGAGCTGTTCAGGAACCGCTCCTTTAGAGACACGTACTTTATTGACATTCATCCATCGGCAGCCTACTATTTCGCTCGCTGCAGGGGGCGCGTGCACCTCACCTTGCACGCGCGCAGCAGGTCAGCGAGCAGATGGGAGCGCGCCAGCTGGCGGTGGTTGTACCTCCAGCGCGGGTGCGAGGGCCGCAGCAGCGCGCCGCAACACTCCAGCGCGAGCTCCCACGCCGAGCCGCGTCGCACGCCCGGCGCGCCCTCCACTTCCCATTCCACGTCCTGCATTATTTATGTTATACTACTGAAATGTCAAAATATTGCAAAATTTATCGCTCGTTTCACTAAAGCGCAGACCTTGTTTTTGTCGAAGCATTTCCAGGCGTGCATGACGAGCGCCAGGAGCTCCGGCTCCACCACCGCAGCGGAGTTCCTCAGGACCGTGAGCGCCCCGCCTCCGCCCCCGCACAGAACCGGCGCGCTGCAAGCTTCCTCCAGGATCACCTGCGAACGAAAAGAGCTTAAAAATGCTGTCAACAACAGCACGCGTTTGGAGCTAAGAAAAGGGCAGACGTATATATGGTGAGCGACCTGCAGCATGCGGTGCGTGGGCCGGCAGCGGTCGGCGGCCAGCGCGGCGTGCAGCATGTGCAGCGGCGGCGCGCCGTACAGCGCGCGGTACACGCGCCCGTCGCCGGCCGCGCGCAGCGCCGCCCGCAGCGCTGCCGCCTGCTGCGCGTCCGAGCTCTCTAGCTCCACGACCTGCACACACCTCATGCACTCGATATATGCACAAATATAGCTCGTACTTTTTCCGATTAATTTTATTTCTCCAAACAAACACGATCACTCTTAATATGAGATAATGTCGACCGAACTAAAATTAATCACATACCCTAGCGAACAGATACAGCATATGTGGAGCGCCCCCGAGTGCGTTTAAAGCGGCGTAGAATCCTTTATTTTGGCGTAAGTTAGCTGACCCCGCCCACCGCGTACGTATCGCTTCCGGCATCCCACCCCCGGCCCCGCCGCCCCGACCGCCGAAAACTAACGAGGACGAAATCAAACAAACATAATGCCTCGGCGTAGGGATAATGTTAAAAGTTCTCTGTGCTCATATCAATTCTGTTTCAAAGTCTGATACTTTATTATGTTTATAGAAATGCTACAGAATATAATATGAAAATGCTATACACACGAATGAGTACAGTATTAAAATTTATTACAACCATCTTAATTTGGCTAGCTGATACCCAGTTGCAGAAACGTCTATTAAAATTGGCATAAGTTTACAGCGACATTACCAATTCAAATTTTCATATTTGGAATATTAATGAGAGTTTAGTCGTTAGTAAACATAACAGATGTTTGTACAAGTAGGTGTAAATGCGATAGATACATAAACAGGGCGCTAGAGGAGTAAAAAATGACGATTAGTAAAATAAGTATTTTGTTACATTTTGGGTAAATGATAGAATGTCTCTTATGGTTGGAAGAGTTGTGCATTTATATGTGTGTAACAAATAGTATTACTTATTTCAAGTTGTAACTATTAATTAGTTAATTATACATATACGTAAATGAAATAAAAACGTCTGTATTGGATATTTATGATCCATAACAAAGTGGCAACTCACCTGCGGACATAGCGAGCGTAGAGTGTTGATACAGATTAATGATATGTGGCGCGTGAGCTGAGAACGACAGCAACGCACTGTCATGGAACTCTCGCAACACGTTACTGGGCATGTCGTATACCTGATAATACATTTAATATATCACAACAAACAAAGACACTTTAGGTTTAGTCAGTATGACGTAACAAGATTTTTTATAATTTTTAAATATAATTTTATTCGGCGAAAATAAAGACTCCTTGACCCTATGCTAACATGTATATTACGCGCTGACTAGATTGGCACATGTATATTTCGATAGGGATCGACAGTCGATAAACTTTCGATAGAATATCCATACTATAAGAAATATTGATATACAAGACGATATATTGCTTTTCTATTTAAACACAACTACTATTAAAGAATATCAATACTCACTTGATCCCAGTCAATATTTGAGTCTAAAATTTTCGGTGTCAACACGGAAGGATAATTGGGATATTCACAGCGCACCTGTTACAGATAAAGATAAATTTTAATGAGAAAGCACTCTTGTTATATATTTAGATCGTTTAGTTATTTTATTGGTAGAACTAGGATGACTGAATGACACAAATAATAATACTCCTTATGAAATAAATTAAAAAAATATATATATATATTATAGATGTATTACGTACGTGGCAGGCGTGCGAGGGCGAGTGCGCGGCCAGATGTAGCGCGAGATGCCTGTTGAGTCTGGGGGCGCGGTACACGCGCACGCTCGACAGCGAGTACGAGCCCGCCCCCGCCCCCGCCCCCGACTCTATCGTGTCGCCGATCAGGACGTTCGTCGGTGTTACTTTGCGAGCTAGAATGCCTGCGGTATGAAATACAAAAGAGAATTACACGCTTGTTTACAGCAGCACATCGATTCTTACTAAAGTCAAATTTAATGCAATGTAACTGTCAAAAGATTGAAAAATGTGATATCAACCAATGTCTTTAAATACCAATGTCGACTTTCTCGTTTATTTAAAAACATATACGCCCCGTTTCTGAATTGAGAATTTAAAGCCAATTTAAACGTCATTTACACAAGTTTTCTTTTCTGATTTTAATGATTAGTTGATAGCAGTTTGATAGAACAACTTTTTGCCACTTGGAAAGTAAAGAACTTAAGTTGTTGAGAATAATCAGTTGAGTCTGTCTATAACGAATTATATCACGTCAATAATTTCATTATTACTTTTGATTTTTTCATAGTTTAACAAATACTCGCCTTGTAAAGGTAGAGAGACAGTTTCACACTCGTATCCGTCGACAAACAGCGTGACCTGATATAAACGTACATTTATTAATAGGAAAATATAGAAACATATAAATGAAAACAACGCAGTACTCTTAGCACGACAATTGAATATTTAAGTTTTAATTGTTTTTGTATTGACACTATTTACTTAATATTTTTAAAGAAATCAATATTTTCAACAATATTTGCGCGCATTTCACAGATTCCAAACTAAATTAAGAAGCAAAATCAGTCAGCTTATAGTGTCAGAAACAACAAAAGTACCACAACACCCATATCCGTTACAATACAGTAAAGTTAATTTTGTACATTATTCCGAACGGGAATCGAGGGCAAAGACAGCACCACCTAGTTGAGTGGAGGCACTCAGTGACGTGCGGGCCTGTACCTGCACGTGTATCCGGCGGCGCAGCACGCGCTCGTGCACGTTGAGCGCGAGCTGCGTCCAGCGGCACGCGCCCACCGCCCCCTCCACCCGCCCCTCGCTGCCCGCCCCCGCCCCCGACCCCGCCTCGGGCCGAGACACTCGGAACACTAATGTACCTAAAATGTAATATCATTAATAGATCGCCTGTTCCAGTCTATTTGTCTACATTTTTAACTGGCGACCCAAAAATATAAATATATTTCGACCCCGTGACCAAACAAATTTATTAATACATCAATGTTATAAAATATTAGGACAAATTTTAAGCCTGTGTTTGCTTAGTCTTTTGATAAATTAATAATACTGACGAATCGTATGGGCGGAACGTACCGGTGGCGCATTCCAACCATATCTCGAACAGGAGCGAGTCGTTCCCTATAGAGAACACGTGTAGTGGGCTAGAGGCGGACTCTCTGCGCGACGAGCGGACCCTCTCTGATTCTAGTGAACTTTCGCACGGACTCCCGGCGTCACCTGATGCTGTATAATTCATAATTCTTATCATTAATTAATAACGTTTAATTTAAAGTGTAGATAGTCACGTGTGGCGGGGCGGTATATCCGGTGTAGTGTAGTGAGTATGGCGAGTATAGATAGTCACGTGTGGCGGGGCGGTATATCCGGTGTAGTGTAGTGAGTATGGCGAGTATAGATAGTCACGTGTGGCGGGGCGGTATATCCGGTGTAGTGTAGTGAGTATGGCGAGTATAGATAGTCACGTGTGGCGGGGCGGTATATCCGGTGTAGTGTAGTGAGTATGACGAGTATAGATAGTCACGTGTGGCGGGGCGGTATATCCGGTGTAGTGTAGTGAGTATGACGAGTATAGATAGTCACGTGTGGCGGGGCGGTATATCCGGTGTAGTGTAGTGAGTATGGCGAGTATAGATAGTCACGTGTGGCGGGGCGGTATATCCGGTGTAGTGTAGTGAGTATGACGAGTATAGATAGTCACGTGTGGCGGGGCGGTATATCCGGTGTAGTGTAGTGAGTATGGCGAGTATAGATAGTCACGTGTGGCGGGGCGGTATATCCGGTGTAGTGTAGTGAGTATGACGAGTATAGATAGTCACGTGTGGCGGGGCGGTATATCCGGTGTAGTGTAGTGAGTATGACGAGTATAGATAGTCACGTGTGGCGGGGCGGTATATCCGGTGTAGTGTAGTGAGTATGGCGAGTATAGATAGTCACGTGTGGCGGGGCGGTATATCCGGTGTAGTGTAGTGAGTATGACGAGTATAGATAGTCACGTGTGGCGGGGCGGTATATCCGGGCGGTGATGGAGAACCCCTGCAGCCAGACCGCCCATCCTGCCTCCGGTACGCCCGCACTCGCCGCCGCCCGCCTCCACGCTGACATCACGCCTGTATCATACCAAACTTACGTTATATTCAATAATATAAATATTACAATAATAATAAAAATAAATTAATCATACCATTTTTGATGTGCAGGTCTCGTAGTCGTTGTGCGAGCGCCTCCGCTTGATGACTCGGCGGCGACACGGGACCGGAGCCCTCGGGAGATATCACCGCGTGCTCTGCAATATCACCAGACTATTTGTAATAGTCTTGAATTTTAAAACTTACACTTTAAGACTTATATATTAATGGCCAGTAGGTAAGTAATAGTAGTAAGTGATAGAAGTCCAGGTACCACGTACACATTTATAATATTTTAATTTATATCACCCGACAACGCGACTATATAATTTATTTAATTAAAATTGTAAAAATTTAATTACATATTTTACTTTGGTGTGTGACCGTTATTTTTTTTTATAATAAATTCATTAGTGCTTCTAACTTATTTTGTATATATACTGTATTGCATATATATATATATATATTAAAGTGGATCAACTTTGCTAACTTTACTCATCTCAACTCGCACGAAAGAGACGGAAGACGATTTAAGATTTTTTTTACAAAAACACCCAGGACGCGCCGAGTCATCAAAATGCTTATATCACTTGTCATTCATTTGAGAGGTAGAACAAAAAGTCGTTTCGTCCGCCTTCATCGACTCGGGTTAATTTGCTATCACCTTTAGTGCTCACCTACTGCGTCCCTTTGTATTGGGAAGACGAGCGCGAAATCTGGGGCGTTCGGTTCCGCGTCATCCAGCAGGCGCTGCAGCGTGGCCAGCAGCGCATCCAGCGGTGGGCGTTCAGCCAGGAACAGGCGGAAGAACATAGACAACTCATCCGCCTCGATATTCTGCGACGCCACCACGTGGAACAGCTCCAGGACACTCCGCTGGAGTTCTGAACACCGGCACGTGGTTACTTCAAGATGATAAGCAACGCATTTGACTATGATTGATCGGTGGCCATTTTAAGACCCTACTTCGTGACGGAACGACGCTCCTTCATTGATCCCGATTGAGATCTTTTATTTTAATATTAGGGCTTCTAATTCCGTAGCCTGTATACAATCTCGGATTATTAGTATTTGCGGGACTAGAAATTTTCAATTGCAGGGCAGTTCTGTATTTGCGGGATCCCGCATAAAGATAATATTAATATTGATGTTAGGAGTTTCTTTTATTTAACGTTTACGTTTATCGTTTTTTTAATTATTCAACGTTTATTTAAGTCTTTATTTTTTTTATTTAAGTGTTTATTTATCTTCGAAAATTGAAATAAATACTGAAAAAGCAAAAAAATCTTTCAGCTATAAAATATACCTATTACTAATAAATTAAAATATAAACCAAAAGCATTTTAACTAAATGTTGATAAAAATAATCATGACTTTAATTATTTAGTTTGCACATTTTATCTGCAAGTGCGCGCATTAATCGAGCGTCCGCGCTCGTATGTATATTTCCGGTGCTAGCAAACAGTTACCTATCAGATGCGGATGGTCGGCGTGCAGCAGCCTGGCGGGCCGGGGCGCCAGCAGACGGCGCAGCAGGCGCGCGGGGGCGGGGGCGGGGGCGGGGGCGTGCGCGGGGGGCGCGGGCCCCCGGCACAGCCGCGCGGCGCACGCGCGCGCCACGTCCGCCCCCGCGCCCGCCGCTGCCCACGTCTCCTCGGGCACCGGCGTCTGCCCCTCCAGCGCGTCCATCACCCTGCACCGGAATAGCGACCATCGGATGAGGACATTCACGACCCGTTCCATTAGTAATATCAGCACAGATGGATTAGTTTTCGCTTTACTCTGCGCTGTCTAGTATATAAAGAATATATATGTGTAAACAGAGCAGCGCATCGAAGAAATGTTGACATTTGTAGTTGAACAGTAGCAGCTCTGTACCAAAATTAATTATGTTGAGTCGAACTAATTTAACCAGTGTTTACATAATTTAAGTAGCCTAAAAAGGATGCATTTATTTTTAGGTTACTTGCTGATATTTTAGTAATATACGAAATCTGCGGTTTTCGTACGAAAACGGGACTGCAACCACAGCATGACATATGTAACTAGACACAATAGCCCCTAAGACATTGAACGATATTATAAAACCGAACACAGTATATCTATATAATTATTAGACTTCCTAAAATATACGTATAAATGGTAAAAAATATTACGTTTTTTTACATTATAAATGCGATTTTATTTATTAGCTTGTATAATATTATGGTGAAGTTAAAGTGCGGACGCTTTCTATCACTTACGCATGAAGCTTATTACATACTAGGGTTTCATTACAAGTCAATATTTTAAAAGTGTATTGAAATTTTTATTTGTACTTGCAACCTTGATTTATTTAAACTTCGCATCATAAAGGTGAACAGTAAAATTAGGCCATCTTCCAAATCAAGATTCGTGACTGTTTTTCGATATTAAAATATCAGTAAATACTTTTTAAAGAAATGAAACTGTAAATATTTTAAAAATAGAAGAGACCTAATTCTTTTGTCCATCAGTATAACGACTACAATGCACTAACTTATTGATGATCTGCGTGAGTATGTCGATGACAATGACGCACAGTTCCGGGTGCGTCAGGTCGCCTCCCTTGCCGTACTCTGCACCCGCGGCTACGTGACCTCCCAGAACACCCGCAATCCCGGCTAATGTAATACATAACAAAACATTCAGTCAGACCTAACAATTTATAAGAATTGAAAACATTGCCGCTTGTGTACAAAACATATCTGCAAAAGTATTTGAATCAGCTACGGTAACATAGTTGTTAATGGTTATAAGACATTTTTCTTAAGTAAAACTAATGCGACTATGAATTTCTATGGAGTAGAAGTTAATGGCGTTTCTTTTTACTCAAACCCCGAATATCTAACTAATATAACATAAATATCACTATAGGATGGTGAATGCTCAAATTCATCAATTTATAAAATCAGTCGTTATTGAACTTAAACACGATAAACCATAAACACAACTTAATTACAATACATATGTACCTATACAATACATAACTATTTATTATTATTATTGTCTATTTAACCTTAACCTTCATGGATGAGTAGCTTTCACAGCGTGGACATTTCCTAGATCTATATACCCAGTCTAGCCATAAATTCTGTTACTGGCTGTCTACATATATTAAAAAAAAACATTAATATTATTTTCGAATTAGCTTTTACAATAAAAAATAGACTTCCTTCCCGCCATTATTGTATGTTTGTTGTTTAGAAATTATTTGTTTTGAAAATGGTGTCGGACACTAAAGAAAATAGGCTTGCAGTAATTGCACAGTACAAAGTAGGTAAGGAGACTGACATTTCTGATACATTTAAACAACTTGGAATTAGCCGAATGTTTGTGTATCGTACCTGTTGATGACCGTGAGAGATCCGGCCTACCGGAGTCTATTCGAACAAACCAGGCCATTAATGCAGTCAAGGCCAGAATTCGTCGAAATCTCATAAGGAAACAGAAAATCTTTTCCAGAGAAATCAGAATCCCATCGAGGACACTTTCTCGGATTATCAAACAAGACTTAGGTCTAGGGGCTTACCGGAGATACATAGGACATACCATAAATCAGGCACTAAAACAAAAGAGAATCGAAAAATCAATACTGCTGTTATTTCGATACGCGGACGAAAAACAGAAAAATTTACTTTACAGATGAAAAATTTTTTACGACCGAGGAGCACACTCCGAGGTAGTGGCCAAAGTTCAGCGAAGCCATCATCCAGCATACGTCATGATTTGGTGGGGGTGACGCACCAAGGGGTTAAAAACTTCAAATTTGCGAAAAATAAGTGAAAACTTCAGCCAAAGTTTATAAAGATACTGTGTTAGAAGCAGTAATCAAACCTATCAACAACACCTTATTTAAAAACGAAGTGTAGACATTCCAACAGTATTCACCCCGGGTCATAAGCCGCGTACTAACCAAAATTTGACTTGAGCAAAATGTTCCAGACTTCATAAAGGCTGATGATTGGCCTTCGGCTAGTCCGGCCTTAAACTCTTTGGACTATAAACTGCAACTATAACTATAAATCTGTGCTAGAAGCCATGGCCTGCTCTACGCGTCACCCAAATGTTGAGTCGCTCAAGAAATCTTTGG